TAATTACAATGTTAATAACATGCTAGACATATGTATCCAAAAATATATATAAATATATATATGTATATATGTTAGACATAGTTAAAAATAAAAAATAATAAAAGGAGTGGGACCAACACTTAAGTATATAATGGTAACTATTTAAATTCAATTTTGAATAAAATTTAGTATCTTATTTATCAAGAATTGAATCTTTTTTAATATCTAATAATTAATTCAAATATATTATTAATTTAAAAGGTTTTAGGATATTCGATCGTTCCATATATACATGTAGAGGGCAGTGGCAAAAAAAAAAAAAATGATGGTAGCTAAGAGGAGAGAAGGCAAAAGCAGAACCGAAAGGGAGAAAGGACAACGAGTGAGAATTGCTTTTATAGCTTCACTGTGTTTTGGAATTTGGGGAAATTGTAGAGCAATTTGAATTCATTAATCATAAGTAACCTTTTCTAGAGTATTTTTTACATTCTCTCTCTCGATAATTGTGATTTATGAGATCATTATCGGTTCTCAATAATTGCGCCGCCACACACTCTGGGCCAACTGTTTTTCCTTTCTCTCCGCAGGCTCAAACCGCAGTATACTATATATTTTACCATTTCTTGCGCCGTTCCCGCAGGAAAAACACCATTGACAGCTTTTGCCTTGACATAAATAGTGGATTCCGCATGTATCTAACTTCATATAGCTTTTGTCATTATAGCTTACGTTACGCATCTCTGGACCTATCAAAGGCAATTCTCAGACTAAGGTATTTATGTGTTTATTTTATTGTGTGCGTCTCTATTCGGTCACTTAACTTTCCATGACTAATTTTTCATTACGGTGATTGAGATTTGATTATCATTTCTTATTAGCCTAACCCCACTTGCTTCACCACACAGTTTCTTCTTCTGGTTGTGCACGTCTTCCTAGTATGTCTGCATATAGGAAGCTAATGCCAGACCCATCTGCATCATTCTACATGGATTAGAGATTTTTCCTTTGCATTAATTGGCTGTAAGAGTCTATAAGATTGAGATAGAGCACTCATCAAATGATGATCGAATCAAATCATGCACTAATCTTGCAGCACAATTTGCATATGTACTTGTCATTTTCTTAG